GCCTGTTGGGCCACCAGCCGCTGGCGCTGGCCAGGAGTACGGCGGCGATCGCGCCCATCCTCAGCGTGCCTACAAACATTATCTCGGGACAGTTCTTGCAGCCCGCCACCTCCGCCACGCCGGTCCAGGCCAAGTGGCCGGCGCAATAGACTCCGGGACCGCGGAGAGAGACATGTTTAGAAGGTGCGCGGGGGGGGGGAGAGGATCATCATGATGATGTGAAAAGACGGCGGTCCTTTTCTACCCGCCACTTTAGACTCTTGCAGTTTAACAATCACAATAACCACAAGGTTTCTTTTGATGACGGTCGCCCGTTTCTGCCCCAAGATCGCCGGTGAAGTGCCCAGGATCGATCCAAATAGACGCTTTTAAGGCCCCCAACTCTTACACGCGCGCACTGTCTCACACTCGCTCAATCACAGATACACAAAACACGCAGAGAAGGAATGAGGTCTGTCTATCTGTACAGGTAAACCTAACGCTCAAACCCCGCGGCAAGGTATTTGTACATACAGTATTTGTAATGGGGAAGGGGTGGGGAAGAAGACGGACTTTACTTTCCACTTTTTATTTTTTTAAAACAGGCCACAGTTTTTGGAAAAAAAGGCCAAAAAAAAAAGATTTAAAAAAAAAAACACCCATGGACCCCAAACACAAAGAAACGTAAGGTTTAGGAGCCCCGAACTTTCAGTTTTGTTGAAGGTTCTTATTCTCCTAGTAGTTTTATTCGAAATACATTTAAAAAACATAAACATTTGAATTATTTTGAATATGTGGTAAAAAAATTGATCAAAAAGAAAGGGTAAAAAGGGTGGAAATATCTCTGTCATTCTATTATAGAAGTCTGTTTATATATGAATGAATATATGTGTTCTAAATGTTATTCCTCCGTGTTGTACACAGCTTTGTAAATAAATTTTTAAAATGGTGCTTCTGGTGTTTACTTGCTAATTAGCAGATCGTTTGAAATAACTGTAGACAGAGACGCGAAAGCAATTTAGCTGCACCAGGCAGATTCGGTTCAGTCCATTAGCTCGGACTGGAAGTACCTTCTGTGGAAAATCAGTAGGATTTACTTTCACAGCAAATATCGCCGCAATAGGGTTTTTAAAAAAGATGCGGTGGGTCCAGAATTCCGATGTTTAAAGTACTGAGTGGATGTCTCACAGGTTCAGTTACGAGGGTTGTCCTAAATCTCCCCCCCCCCAACAAAACATAGGTGAGAAGCGATAGCTGCCTCTTAAAAATTTACAAAATTTACAAACACAGATTACAAACAAAGGAACGATGTGGACATTACATAGGTGTTAAAGTTCTGGTGCTGGTGAAGTATCTTCCTTCTTAAACAAACATTCGAGACATTGATTGAGGCCCAAAATATTTCTCAGGAGTGGCCAAAGTAACAAATCAATTCTTCTGGTTTGGGAAAGGAAAATAGTCCCATTAAGAGATATCGAATTAAAACAGACTTAGGGAAAGAAACCACCTTTCTACTAGATCTCTCTCCCCCTAAACAGGGAACTTCAATACTTCGTCCGGGTTTCTTTTTTTACTCAGACTAGGTTTTGCTCCCCATGATTAAAACAGACATACAATTTCCTTTTTCTGAGCTGTTTGTCTTTACCTTACTTATGTTTCAGTGAGATGTATGCATGCTCCGAAGGTTTAAGAAGTTGGTGGGTTGTGTGTGTGCGTGTGCGTGTGCGTGCGTGTGTGTGTGTGTGTGTGTTACTCGGGGCTGCGACCACATAATAAAGAAAGTAAGGAAAGTAACTTTTAACTTCGGGATTCAATTGTAGAAAATTTGAACTAATTTCTTTGCAACAGAATCAATGGTGGGAGAATTTGGGAATTCCATCAGAAGGAAAGCCGGTCGAGTGGTTAGGACGAAGCGACAATAAGTAACGTGTACACCGCTAATTGTATGTCGATGAGAAACAATGTTTTGATTTAGGGAACATACGTACTTAAACCGAGCCGTGCCTTGTGTTGTTTCTAACAGAGTCAAAGCATCGCTCTGCCAGCTGTTCTTCCGCAGAGGTAGCTTTGCCTATAGACATCTGTGGTTAAAAGAAATGAAGCTGTATGTGTCTTATTTTAGGCCAGGAAAGGCCTGGCCAAACCATTTGAATCCAAAGGCCCCTTCCCATCGATTTTAGGGGAAGGCAGATCCCAACCTGAAATGCAGGTAACGATTTGAAGGGTGGCATTCCGTCGTCAAAAATGGAGAGAAGGCCACCCAAGAACAGGAAACGTTGTTGTTATCATGATTAAATTGTTGTTGGTTGTGGTGAAAATAGGAAATCCAAATACAGTATTTTTCTCCCTTCCTCCTTTTCTCTTTCTTTCTCAGAAACAAAACATGCATTTTGACAGGGCAGGCTTTCGTTCTGTTCAGCCTCAAAATGTACAGCCTGACCGTCAGTCAAGGAACGAGGCTTTGGTGGAGTTTTCTGGCGTAAGGCCCGGATGTGCCTTTAAAAGGAGGCGACCTGGTCTGGTGGTGTACAATTTGTTTTTCCAGATAAACCATAAATATTATTCCACCCTAAGTAAACATTTATACCTCGGGATATGTGGACGAAAATAAAGTTAGCTGCCTGGTGACACGGGGGAGAAGCGGGGGGCGGAGAGGCTGAACTTTATAAATAAGGACCTGCTAATCATTTGACACTCGGGAGGCAAACAGGCAACCCGCGGCCAAGGCAGCGATTAGGTATCAGCCGCTTTTCCAGCAGGTCCCTACATGGACCCACCGGCTCCCTCCCCAGCTCCTCGGCCTCTCCTCGGCTGCCGTGGCCTCCCCTTCCCCAATTTCATAACTTCGGCTCTCCCCTGGCCCCAGCCCCTCCCTCGGCGGCCGGGATTTCCATCCGCGGCCCTTCACCACCGCCGCCGCTATAAAAGTCACAAGTTGTTTCACAGTTGTGTCTGGCTAATCGGTTTTTACACAAACAGCAAATGGTCCGTGGCTTGTGTGCAAACCAGGCCGAGGCGCTGGCCGCGGGGGCTATATTTAGCTGATACCCCTGGGAAAAGAGGCAGGGGGCTTGTCTTGAATTCACTCGCGGGCCGCCCGAGCTGCTGAGGCAGGCCTTCGCCCTGACATGGGATAACAGGGGGCCCATTCCAGGCCTCAGCCTTTTGTTGCTTATAAAATTACTCCCTCATATTTCCGCGCATAACTCCAATACCTCGCGCGGCCCGGTAGGGGGAAGGGGGCGGCTTTAGGGTCAGCCGCCGCCGCCGCCGCCGCCATTGTTTCAAAGGGGAAATGGCTCCTCTATCTACTCGTTCCCCCCCTTCTTCTTTCTACCCATCCCTCAAAAAGAAACAACCCACAAAACCTGGCACCCCCTTTCCCCTGCTCTTTATCGAGGGTCGTTGGCAGGTGTAGAGAAAGAGGGAGGAGAATAGGAAAGAGAGCTGTCAACTTTCGGCCCCAATGGCTCCCTTTGACCGGCGGGAAAAAAAAACTCCCTCTCCGTTGTCCTTTTGTCTCGTGGCACACAAGAAAGGGGGTGGCCGCGTGGCGATCGAGGGCGAGGAAAGCTGGACTGAGAAGCGCGTCTGGGAGCACAGAGACTGAGGGAGGTTTCAGCTCCTGACAGGAAAAAAAATAACTGGGAGAGGGGAAAAAAATCAAACCGGCCCATTATGTCTGTATCAGTCTCACACACTTACAAAATCTGTATGAGGTGTGAGTAGCAGAATTAGTTTGCGAAGGACACATGACGGACAACTAATCGTGTGTCTGTCACACAAAACATAGATGTGCCTGTTACGCAAAACAAACTTTGTGGGAGAGTCATGGGTGTACGGACTAGTGTGTATAGAGCAGATTCATACTCAGTGTATCACACATTCGGGTGGGGTTGTCTACCAAGTGGTACGTAGTGTGAATTAAATACGCACAACGTGTCTCACCCCGTGTGTGTCTGTCTTTTTAATAGGTGGTGTATAGATCAGGATCATACCCTAGGCAATAAGTACCTGGCAGCTTCTGGATTTGAATGAGCAGCCCTTCCCATTCCAAGGCCTCACCACCATCACAAGCACTCGTTTGATGTGTTGTTATTGGCAACGAGACCTTGGGATGAGTATTCTTGTCAAAAAGTCCTGAGGATCAGAGTGAGAGAAAGTGGGAGACGTCTTTGTATAAGCATGAAGGGAAAGGGGGTGGGGGTGGGAATAGGCGTCGTTTGTTTACAGTACATATTTAATTTCCTTTCAGGAAAATGCCAATCACAGCCCGGTCATATACAGAAAAGCACCAAGGGTTTATAATTTTAATTCACATATCATTCTGACGTATTCAGATGGATAAATCAGGGCCTTTGCATCCAAGGAAAGAGTAGAAGCCTTTCAATCGCAGGGGGCTTGTTCACCGTGCTGGAAGCTGCTGAAACCTCTTTTCATTCCTGCAAAAGGGAAAACTCCCATTGCCAGTGTTTATCTTTCGGATCCCGTGAAGCAGCACTCATAATTACAGTATTGCTAGGTAGGCGTGTTGCCGGAAAAAGAAAAGGCAACGTGTTTGGAAGAAGGAAGGGCCATTAATGTCCACGACAGGGAACTGGGAAGTTTGAGGGGGTGGGGAACAGCGGCAGGTGAAAACGGGGTTTTTGGAGGGAAGAGAGTGACGTAGTAGCAGAGAAGTGCCTCTAGGGGGCGTTTGGTGTGCGGCGAGTTGCGCCGCCTTGGATCGTGATGTTACTGCGATTGCGTCTTTTCAGTCTGGAGGCCCATTGAAAGGAATCGGGAATAAGATGAAGCGCGCTTCTTTTATTTTGCCATCTTGGAGGTGAACAGCGAGTAAGCACCGTATAGCAGCGAGAGATCAGGGTAGTTTCCCCCGGTGGGGAGTCCAAGCGGAGACAACCATCTGTATAACCGAAGGTGGCTTTTTAGTACGTTTTCTGAGTACATGTTAGGCATGGTAGATTAATACAGTATGTGGATTTATGTAGATGGCAAAAAGAACAAATGTGGTGGGAGGAAAAGATTGCTGTTGATCAGTCTTCCCAACCAGAGTGCCCCTCAGATGTGTAAGATTACGACTCCTGTGATCTCCTGCCACTGTGGAAGCTGTGGATGATGGGACTTAGTTCAACACACCTGGAGGGAATCAGATTGAAGAAGGCTGATCTAAATCGTGGGTCTGAGATGTTGTGCCGTGACAGATCAAAAAGGGGTCAGACAGTCATTGGGCAGAAGTTGATCTGTCCTTGATTCTTCTGATGTCCTTGGGAATAAAAAGTGGTGGGAATGGCCCCTCAAAAAAAGTTTTACTCAAAAGCCAAGCAAGAAGGGTAGAAAACAAAATATAGACGATATAGAATAAAGGCCATTCCTTCTTACAGAAAATTTTGACATGGTGTCCCAGGATCTGTTTTCAAGTAGGAAGGGGGCTTTTGGCCTTGGGCCTGCAGAAATGAACTCAGATTCCTACTTGGCTCTGATATGGGTATATACATGATCTTAAGCAAACAGATCTGGGAGTCAGTGAATCAGAATGCTGAATTTGTGGATACAGACATGAAAAGTCTCTCAAAGAGGCTCCTTAGATGTGTGTA